TAATCATTTTGGTGGGGAGGTTCGCTTTTTGCACCATTTTGGGGCGGAGTTGAGCCCCGGAGCTGTCGGAGTCGCAGCGACTGCGCTTTCGCGATGGATTCCGCCTCGGAGTGCTGCAAAAATCCATCACGCACCGAATGCCAACCACTCACATCGCCCAAAAGCAACAACCAACTTCCAACAGCCAACATCCAACATCCAACAAACAGGCAACAGCTAACAGCCAACATCAATGTCAACGTCAGGCAGAGGCAGGACGCGGATGTGAGCGCGGACAAGGCGACGGCAGCGACGTCTGACAGGCGGAAGAAAAGCCACCCATCAAGTGGCAGAAAGGCAGAATGGGGGGCACGGTATGGTGGTGTGGTGTGGTAGGGGCGAGCCCGAATGAAAGTGCTTTGTGATTAGGAGTCAAAGCATATGCTTTTTAATTTGCATGTCAGTTTGCGGTGCTGGTTCGGCGGGTGATGTTCTCCTCGTAGATGGTCCGTTTAGATTAGAGTGTCTGTCTAAAGCGCCATATGATTGCCAAGTGGGGACTATTTCCATCAGCTAGCCATGCGGGTTGTACTATGGGGTTAGTGGCGGATGAGTACTAAGTTCTTGTAGATGATGCAAACTTTAATTCAATTTTGGCACTTGTTTTGGATTACTTCTTCACTGACAGCTCAAATTGTAATTACTGCCGCCAAATCGGTACATATATTAATTATTTGTGCCATTGCACACTTTTGTTTTTGGCATATGCCAGCTTAGATCTGGAATTTATATATTTAAAAGTGCGAGAGACGTGTTTTAATCCTCGATTACTTAGATGCATTTCGATATGACTACCGGCGCCATCTGTACACAAGAAAATGCAACTACTACACCACTCATGGCGTTTATGGCGTCGATTTGCTATAAACTTTAGTTCATCCATTTTCTCATAGGGGGCGCACCAAAATTTAACCACGAATTTTAGTTAAGAGCGTTTCCGCTATGATGGCCCTTTTTCTCAGGACTCTCCCGATTCCGAAAAAGGCAGAATATGACTATATTTTTGGCAGAAAGGACAATCTAAAAAAAAGCTGGGTTGGATACGAGGGAAGATTATTATTTTGTCTGCTTTTAACATAACAGACGACTTCAATGGCCAAGTGTCGTGTCGACAGAAGGTAGTACTTCCTGGGAGGAATGATTTGCACGGTAAGGTGCATGCTGTCCTGCCTCATCGATAACCATGGGATCAATCCATTCCCCACCTTTTCACTGCTTTTCACTGTTCGGCTCAACACTTTTTGCTCCATTATTATACATTTTTATAGTTAAAGCAAAAGTTGTCAACAAATGCTTTTCTATTCTACAATTGTTTATCATTGCATTGAATGAATATGAAACTCAAAGACCAGGAATGTCTCACGCATCTTAATCCAATCTTAAGCTATAATAGCTACCACCCTACCCCCTTCATGCCCACAATAAGACAGTTCAATGTTTGGTGTGCTCTGGTGGTCTAAGCTATTGTTTTATTGCCGTCTCAAATTAATGTTCGTGGTTTGCGATCAATAGAAATTAGTCGCAGAGTCCGTTAGCCCGTCCGCTGGGGCCACAACAGCAGGGTCCGCCATTTCTACAAGGGTAGCAGCAGGGTCCGGAAGGTCCGCAGCGGGGTCTGCAAGGTCGGTGGCTGGGTCCCCAGCAAGGGCCGCAGGATCCGCAGCAGGGGCCGCAGCAAGAGCCGCAAGGTCCACAGCAAGGGTCGCACATGTTTGAGAAGTTAAGTTTCTAGAAATATTAGGACCCAGACTTATTCAATTCTCAAAATTTGTTTCTAATATATTTACCTTGAACAAAACAAAAAATTTGAGTCGACAAAAATTTTAGGACACACAAAAATTTAGATGTTTCTGGGCAGATTGGTTCGGTGTGAATGAGAGAAATGGGAAGGGAGAAATAGAGCATGGGTTTGACAGAAGCACAAACACACTTCACAGATGACTTGATGATTTTATTTGTACTATATATTTTTTGTATTAAGCCAATCATTTTAACATAGCAATACAATTCATAGCTGACAAAATCGTGTAATATTACTTCTCCGTAATTTTCCATCTGTTAAAGTTTTTAGGTCACTTCAGCATTGGCTCTTCGAAATCTAACTTTTTGTGCTTTATCCCTTGCAGATGCGGCTTGTTCTGCCCAACCGTAGTCATATCGTCCTGTGGGTCCAGGCGGATTCTGTGAGGAGGCATTGGTAGTACGGCATCGTCGGGGTTTTTCGTCTCGACAACGGTTGCCCACAAATGCCTTTGTCCTTGGGCGACTCGGACCACTCCGAATAGCACAGAACAAAAAATGTTTGCCTAGTTTCGATCTTCTGTTTGGTTTAAGGTGACTACTCTATTATTTATTATAAAAATAATAAGATTAAAGCCATTTTTTATATTTTCCAGAACTTCTACGTGTGGGCCTTGTGGATCGTGCCCTCCCATCTGCTGTGGAAGCTTCTGTGGTGGCTGTCGCTGACTAATAACGACAATCGACAGGATCTAAGCCTTCCATCAACGCTCTGGTGACAACTGCAGAAAGCTAGAACACAAAGCTGCCTCAAAAAATAGCATTAGACTAGTTTTATGATAGTTTTACAAATAAACCATTTAAGAATAAAACAATTATTATTTTGTATGTATTTGGGAAGACTCAGGAGAGTCGACTGAGACTGCGGAGATCCCTGGTCCTTAATAAGGATATCATCAGATCAGATCACAATCAACAAAGAAAATTAAATATTTTTGATCCTTGATATCCTTGGTCCTTGAAAAGGACATCATAAAATCAGGGACGTTTTGCCGATCACAGGAAGCCGTCGCATGCCCAAATCGGCCCATAAGGAGCGGAGAAAATGAATATTTGTGATCTTGGATGTCCTTGGTCCTTGAAAAGGACTTCGAAAAGTCAGGGACATTTTGCCGATCACAGGAAGCCATCGCATGCCCAAATCGGCCCATAAAGAGCGGAGAAAATGAATATTTGTGATCTTGGATGTCCTTGATCCTTGAAAAGGACTTCATAAAATCAGGGACATTTTTCCGATCACAGGAAGCCATCGCACGCCCAGATCGGGCCATAAATAGCGGAGAAAATGAATATTTGTGATCTTGGATGTCCTTAGTCCTTGAAAAGGACTTCGAAAAATCAGGGACATTTTTCCGATTACAGGAAGCTGTCGCACGCCCAAATCGGCCCACAAATAACGGAGAAAACAAAATTGGCTTATAACTGTCTTTAAAAATGTAGTTCAAGAAATCGCCGATGGGGGCGCCACCGTACAAAGGGAAAAAACTCGCGTCGCATAGCAAAAATCTGGCTGGGATACCAGGGGAACAGAAATCAGCAGAAGGTAACTGAAATTTTTTAAAAATTTGCGGTCCCCCAAAAGTATGCAACACGAATTTTTTGAATTTCCTACAGTTGCTTGCTGCTGATTTCTGTTCGCCTGGTATCCCATTCAGATTTTGGCCGTTTGCTCCGGTATTTGTGGGCCGATTTGGGCGTGCGATGGCTTCCTGTGATCGGAAAAATGTCCCTGATTTTATGAAGTCCTTTTCAAGGATCAAGGATATCAAGGGTCAAAAATATTCATTTTCTCCGCTATTTATGGCCCGATCTGGACGTGCGATGGCTTCCTGTAATCGGAAAAATGTCCCTGATTTTTCGAAGTCCTTTTCAAGGACCAAGGATATCAAGGATAGAAAATATTTATTTTCTCCGCTATTTATGGCCCGATCTGGGCGTGCGATGGCTTCCTGTGATCGGCAAAATGTCCCTGATTTTATAAGGTCCTTTTCAAGGACCAAGGATATCAAGGATCGAAAATATTCATTTTCTCCGCTATTTATGGCCCGATCTGGGCGTGCGACGGCTTCTTGGGATCGGCAAAATGTCCCTGATTTTATAAGGTCCTTTACAAGGACCAAGGATATCAAGGATCAAAAATATTTAATTTTCTTTGCTGATTGTGGGCCGTTCAGAGCGTGCCAGGGTTTCCTGCGCTCGGAAAAATATCCCTGATCTGATGATATCCTTATTAAGGATCAGGGATCTCCGCAGTCTCAGTTCAGCATAAAAGATGGCTCTCATTACTAAGCAAATAATCCAATCCACTATCCTCCTGAGGCGTCCAAAATACATAAAAAATAATACGATTTGTGAAATGTTTATATTCGTAATTGTTTTATTTTTAAATGGTTTATTTGTAAAACTATCATAAAACTAGTCTAAAGCTATTTTTTTGAGTCAGCTTTGAGCTCTAGCTTTCTGCAGTTGTCACCAGAGCGTTGATGGAAGGCTTAGATCCTGTCGATTGTCGTTATTACTCAGCGACAGCCACCACAGAAGCTTCCACAGCACATGGGAGGGCACGATCCACAAGGCCCACACGTTTTTGATCCGTAGAAGTTCTGGAAAATATAAAAAATGGCTTTAATTTGATTATTTTTATAATAAATAATAGAATAGTCACCTTAAACAAAACAGAAGCTCGAAACTAAGCAAACATTTTTTGTTCTGTGCTAATCGGAGTGGTCCGAGTCGCCTAAGGACAAAGGCATTCGTGGGCAACCGTTGTCGAGACGAAAAACCCCGACGATGCCGTACTACCAATGCCTCCTCGCAGAATCCGCCTGGACCCACAGGACGATATGACTACGGTTGGGCAGAACAAGTCGCATCTGTAAGGGATAAGATACAAAAAGTTAGATTTCGAAGAGCCAATGCTGAAGGGACCTGAAAACTTTAACAGATGGAGAATTACGGAGAAGTAATATTACAAGATTTTGTCAGCTATGAATTGTATTGCTATGTTAAAATGATTGGCTTATTACAAAAAATATATAGTACAAATAAAGTCATCAAGTCATCTGTGAAGTGTGTTTGTGCTTCTGTCAAACCCATGCTCTATTTCTCCCTTCCCATTTCTCTCATTCACACCGAACCAATCTGCCCAGAAACATCTAAATTTTTGTGTGTCCTAAAATTTTTGTCGACTCAAATTTTTTGTTTTGTTCAAGGTAAATATACTAAAAACAAATTTTGAGAATTGAATAAGTCTGGGTCCTAATATTTCTAGAAACTTAACTTCTCAAACATGTGCGACCCTTGCTGTGGACCTTGCGGCTCTTGCTGCGGCCCCTGCTGCGGATCCTGCGGCCCTTGCTGGGGACCCAGCCACCGACCTTGCAGACCCCGCTGCGGACCTTCCGGACCCTGCTGCTACCCTTGTAGAAATGGCGGACCCTGCTGTTGTGGCCCCAGCGGACGGGCTAACGGACTCTGCGACTAATTTCTATTGATCGCAAACCACGAACATTAATTTGAGACGGCAATAAAACAATAGCTTAGACCACCAGAGCCCACCAAACATTGAACTGTCTTATTGTGGGCATGAAGGGGGTAGCTATTATAGCTTAAGATTGGATTAAGATGCATGAGGGGCCAGACATTCCTGGTCTTTGAGTTTCATATATATGAAAAGGTGGGGAATGGATTGATCCCATGGTTGTCGATGAGGCAGGACAACATGCACCTTAGCGTACAAATCACTCCTCCCAGGAAGTACTAGCTTCTGTCACCCGACACTTGGCCATTGCAGTCGTCTGTTAAAAGCAGACCAATTAATAATCTTCACTCGTCTCCCACCCAGCTTAAAGGCTTTAAGCGAGCAGGCTAATTAAACCCGCCGTTAAATTAGCCAAGTAGAGCGGGGCGAGCAATTGACAAATTGTCAGCCAGGCCAGGCCCGGCCGCCGTTCGAGTCTGAATCGAAACTCGAAACTCGAAACTCGACACATCGATCAGTAGAGACAGAAAACACTTTGCCTGCTGTCCGCTGTCCACTGTCTGCTGTCCACTGTCCGTTGCCTGCTGCAATGTGGCCAGCTGGCGGACAGTTGGCATGGCCACTTGCCCATTCCTTCAGTCGGACGATCTGAGCCGTAAAATGCCGTTAAATGGACACGCAGCGCGAGCCAGAGCCAAAGCTAAAGCCAAAGTCGATGCCAGAGCCAGAGCGCGCGCACTTCCAACGAGTTCTCTCCGCCAGAGATGCTTCCTGTTTGATAAATTTGAAAATCAATTGAAAATGCCCGAAAGGCCGACGCGTCATGGTGGGAGACAGACGCACACACAGGCGCACACCGAGAGAGAGAGAGATTCGCGGAAAAGCAGCTGGAAGCTGTTCCGAGTTGGTTCGCCATTGAAAGATGGATATGGAGATGCTGCACCTAGGAACGGCAGCCAAAACTGAGGCAGTGACTTTCAGCAGCGTATGGAAAACCGTGACTGCGCGATGCGTATGCTTTAAATACTTCAAGAATTACTTTAAATCATGAACTGGGAACTGGAAAACAAGAACAATCTTAAACAAGAGAACAATCCACCTTAGAAGTAAAAAAGCATCCCAAAGTGTAGGAATATGAAGTCATTTTCCAAGGCAAAGGAATATCTTTCGGTTGGTCTATAAAATGGAGAATATTGTGGTAGATTTTCCATTTTCCTTTTACTATTTTTCCCCTATCTCTATAAGTGCCACTTCTAAGTGGAATCTATTCCAGTTCTCTTGAATTGAATGGTTTAGTTCTCTATACATCCCATATACCACTCCAGGGAAGACTCTGCTGACTTGCAATCATCTTTTCCACCTGTTAGATGTTACCTGTTCGGGTGATCACTTCACAGCCTCCTTGGGGGCTGTCATCTCTGGCACTGGCCATAACCTAGAATATTTTATTATTTTTTATTGATATTTTCTAGCCATCTATTTACCCCGGCTGGATCATCTGCCCGGGCCCCCGTCCCACGGCTCGCCCGATCGATGCAAATAAATCACTATGGAAAATGCAGTCGATGAAAAAAAGCGACGCGTAAGTGCCGCCAAATAAATTTCGCAATTTATTTATTGCACAGTCGACGTTGGCTGCCGTTCGATGAGCTCCCATCTCTCCTCTCCCCTGCTGGCTTTGCTGGGAGTTGGAGCTGGAGATGGAGTCGGCGTTGGAGTCCGTCGTGGTCAGGTTTTCGGCAGGAGAGCAAAAGGAAGAGAAGTATTTTATTTCATTGCCAGCAAATTGGCAATAAGTGAAATTTGTTGGCCGCGCTCGGCAGGTGTTTGCCAGTGGCCAATACTCGCAGCGATTGAAGGAAAAGGAAATTCGAATCGCACGCAGATTCCATTCCATACCCTTCCACGGCCCCGAAGATCCGAGGAAATTGGGTTAGCAATGCCATCCACCGATGGAGGCTGTGGCTTTGATTGGGATTTCTTGTGGTTTTTGGTCTGGGTTTTGTTTTGGTTTTGGGGTAGAGGTGTGTCCAACCTCTTTAGCGGCTACTAAAGACTCACTTAATATATCATCAGGTAATGCAATTTGCCGATAGTGTCGGGGTGTGTCGGGGCACCTGCTCTGTGGGCTCCCTTTATGAGTTCCCTGGAAGCCGGCGTAACCGATCGGCTCTGACCCATTTTCCCCATTGTTAAACATTCACTTTTGTACTCATAATTTATTGTTATGTCTTCGCCTTCAACTTGAGTATCGGCATCGGCATTCGGCATCATTTTTGCATAAATAAATCAGCTAAAGCGGAGGCCAAGTGCAAATGAATTAGCATTTGTATTCAGCCCCTTGTGCAGTTCTCTCCGGATCTCTGTCTCTCGGGAACCCCTTTCTCGATTCCCATACGCATCATTAGCCTAAAAGGCAGAATCAAGTGTAATTTAACCGTTAACAAAAGCCTATTGTGAGCTAACAATCCATTGTGAGTGTGTGGAAAGCCTTTTACCAGCCTCCTTACCTGCCGGGTGCCCCCTGCCCCTGATGTCCCCTTGCTGCACGGAGAGAGAGAGAGAGAGAAAAGAATCCACGCCAGACGCAAATTGATTGAACGCAGCGAAGGAGTCCGCGTGGAGTGGAGTTTGGAGCTGGAGTGGCGTGGAGTCCGTCTCCGTCTGCGTCTCCAAACAGAGAACCTGGCTAATGACCGCAAATTAACACTGGCCAAGGAGCTGCAAGACGAGTGTCATTAACAGAAGTGTTTGCCAGAGCCAGAGGCAAGAGGTGGGCGGGGGGCGGGGGCTGGGGGAACTGGGACTGCGGCTGGGAGACGACTCTCAATCGAGTGGCAAGCCACTCACTTTGGCGCGGGCTTTTAGCATATCTTCTAATAGATCGCCAACTTGGCATACTTAACTCACGACGCAGTTCCCTAACTCTTTTCGGTTTCTGGTTAGTCGACTCTCCGCTAAGTTGGGCCATAAATCGGCAGTTAAGGCCCCCAGAAATCTACATGGCTACCGTCGTCGCCACGGGCATTCATAATTTAAAGATACTCGTATAAAAATAAACAACATTTTTACTCCTGCCTGGAACGCCGACTATTCGGAAGTAAACGAGAAGAACATGCTAAGTCGATGGGTGATTTGACTCCATAACCTTTGACGATCGGGGGAAGCACTTATCAGCGTCCTCCTATAGCGCGATTGCGCCATTTTTATGTCGTGAAGGGATGCTGCTATATTAAAGGTGTTATCCCCATTTGATTATAGCACATTCATTGACCAATTATACTCGTGATGATCATTCGAATTAATAGACAATTCTGCAAATGGACTTTTCCAATTTAAATCCCTCATCGATAGAGTTGTAAGTGGCAAAGTTTGACGATCACATTAAAGGCAGAGGAAGCAAGAGCCCATAGACTGAGAGAAAAATTGAAAGGTATAAAAAAACCCATATTTAAATGAAATATTTGGTTTTTAAATACAAGCACAGTGAAATTAAATAGAAAATTTGATTTTAATATACATTAATTAAAAAGAAATATTGTAATATTTAATCTCAATATAAAAAACTTTAAAATAAATATATGACATTAAATTTATGGGAAATTTAATAAAATTATTTAATTTAAATATGATAGATAAATATTTTTGAAACAACAAATATATCTCATATTTAATTAAATTTTTAATATATTTAGATCAAATATTTTCATATTTATTAAAAAATATAATTAAAAACGGCACAAATAGAATGGCAAAAAAAAACAAATCTATGTGAAACAATACGGGGCTCAAGCCCTTTTTTCTCTGGGTGTGGATGCATTTATACTTCCTCAGCATTTAAATGATTTTGTCCCCAGTAATAGGCCACCAGGAATAGCCATTAATATTAATCGAAAATCTTCATTTTCTCTGGCGAAAATCGAATAAAAACCTGCACAGAATAATATAGATCGATTTGGTTAATGTGAATCCATTCGATTCATTCGCTTCCCATCAGCTGTGGCTGCAGTTTCGCATGTGGGAAGTACATATGTATCTATCAGGCAACTAACCCATATCTCGCCCAATTATCTATCCCCCTGGCGATCCCCGATCAATTTGCAATTTGGAGTCAAAATACACAAAAATTTCCTTTGCAAATTGCTTGTGTGTAGGTTTTGGACAACGTTTTTTTTTTTTGTTGTAGCCAGCCATAGACATCTTTCTATTCCTATAATTACCACAGAAATCGCATAACAAGCAGCAAGCGGCATGGGGGAGGGTGGGATGGGGCGAGATGGGATGGTGCGGAAAGTGGGTCAGGTCTGGGGGTCTGCGGCATTATTGGTTTAGTGGATCAAACCCGACAACGACTACGCAAAAGGCAATTTGAGTTGCACGGGGAAACAAAGCAAACAAAAAGCGAGAAAGAGACTTCCACTGGCAACATTTATTAGATCAATGTCTCGGCAGCAACTGCAACTGCAACGGCAACGGCGATGGGGGGAATGGGGCAACTTGGCAACCCACAAGACTGCTGAATAAATTGCAGAGGCTGCGACGACTCGGCGCGGCCTACTCGGGGAGCAAAACAGAAAAAGAACAACAAAAAATCAAACGAATGACTAGCATGAGGCCAATATATAATAATGGTTAAACGCCCAGGCATCAGGCATGAGGCTGCACCGCTCCAAACATCTAATAACAGCAACAGCAGCTGCCTGCCACAACAGCAACAACAACTAGAAAGAAAGAACAACCAACAACCAGATACAAACTGCCCATTAAGCGAAGCTCCAGAGAATATCCACCTCTCGATTGGCATTGGCGCAACAATTTAAATAGAATTCGCCAACATCAATGAGGAAATCGAATTGAATTTGTTGCTGCCACTGCGCCTGCCCCTGCCACGGCTGCTGCTGTTGCTTTTCATGTTCAATTTTCCTGCACCACCCAAAAGGAAAATTCGACAAAATAAACATAATCATGAAAAGAAAGTGCTGGCCCGAGTATGTGAAATACTGGCATACCCTTGAATCAGAGCAGAGGAGGCCAAAGGCAATTAAAGGGGAATTGGAGAAACCCAATCGTGGAAGATTTTC